TTTTTTTAAAACACAGATGTGCCATTTCAGGGAGCTCCATCAGGTTCTGGCAGTTATTACAAACACCTCTAATAGGAATAGCTGTAGATTATAAACTCACATAAGATTTTTATCCAGTGCAAGTAGTAAGGTCTACAGCCATTCTTTGAGTGCCAAGACATTAGGTTTTATGCAAAAAAATGATGACATTTTATATTTTGTAGGACTAGTGATTACTTCTGTATATTGATATTTCACTGTCAATGTCAGCAAGCGTGCTTCTGTTTGTATTTAACACTTTTCCTCAAAAACGTTACATTTGTGCACACGTTTTGCAGCAGGTACTATCAATGGGTCACTATTTAGACATAGAGTTTATCAAGGCAGCTCAACAATCTGAATTTTAAATCTATCCTTCACTCTGCACAACTTGTTTTTATCAGCTTGACAGTATTTAGACTTGGACAAATGACAGGAATTAAGAGTTTCCTTCATTTGTAAATCTGAAGCGGTCAAAATTCATTCAGAAAAATGCAGTATGTAAGTGACATACCATTTACAATATTCTTCAGTCTTATCCGTTAGTAACTATTTTAACACAGATTGTGAAATTCAGTCTGTGCAATACTATTTAATGGTAGGTTAATTTGCAAAAAAGTCATAAAAATAATTTTTATTTTGATTAATAATAACAACTGAATATGTAAAATGGATGGATCAAAAGGATTTCAGAGTATTGATACCAGTAACAAATTAGTGATTGTTTTATGTTGGTGATAACTATGATCACATGACTATTAGGAATCTGTTCCTCTTGTTCATATATATTTTGGTACCAATGCAATCCTACTGATCCTACAGCATAAAGGAAGTAATTTTGGATAGCTACTTATCAAATTTTTAAAATGTTTCTAGAGTGAGAATTCAAATTTGTTCATAAAATAATTATTTTTTTCCTTACGGTCTAATTTATACTCTAAGTATGTATGCTTATCTAATCTGTATCTTATTACATTAAGCATTTACATTTTAAAGATAAATATCAATGAGAGCTTACACATTGCCACTTCAAGTGGAAGTTATAAAAAAACCCCTAACGTACCGTATCTTGGCCTTTCACAGTGCCATGACTTCTGACTCTGCCCCAAACGGACTTTCCCAAGGAGAAAGCTACCCCGACCTACCAGTCAACTAACTGGCCACAGGAATAGGGATCACTGCCTGAAGCAGATCACATCGCTCTAAATCAGCCCTGTTTTTTCAACTGTTACTTAAAATACTGAATTCACAAGGAAAGAATATGGCTTCTCGTTTGTCTGCTAGTGAAGTACCTGGAGTATTGAAAGCCATAGCTAATTCCCACTGAAGTGAGTAAAAAATCAGAACAGAAAGGTTAGGGTTGCAATAATACTCTAAATTGTCATTTACAATTTTTGTGGCCAATTCAGCCAAAGGGCAGGTGGAAAAGCTTTACCTTTACATATAATTAGTACCGCACATCAGTCACGTAAAAGATGGGTGCATGCACACTGGGGGAATTAGCATATCATCAAATAAACCTTGCCTTGGCTGACTAAAAAGAGCTGTTAACTAGCATTAATTAACAGTGCACACTGAAGCCCTTACAGTGTCCAGCTGCTGCTTTTTGCTGCTGTCAGTTATATGAAAGAAATAAGGGATGTCTTCACTTTTCATGCCCTCAGGTGGGAGGCACGAGTATGTACTTCAGTAAGGTGCGAGGCCCTGTCTGACGCTGCTCCTACGAGATCAGTTTCACAACCTTGAGGTTCATGCCCACCAGCTGTGGAGTAAAAGTGAATGATCACCCACAGCAGAAATTCATTTGAAATTCATTTGAAGTTCATTTGCATAATGGCATTCAAGTGTTTTACATACTTGCTGCAAACTCCTACTTTACCGATCCTACAATTCCTGCAGCAAATCAGACGTAGGTGTTACAGTCAGTCATCTCACTTCATAAGCTTAAATGATGCCCTGAGCATTGTCAGATCTGTGTACTCAATGATACATTAAAAAAAAATTATCCTGTAATTTAAGATGATGTGTAATATATATGCCAAAGGGGACTGCAATAAGATTACATATTCTACATTCAGGGTTTACCTCACTTTTGAAATTATTTTCAAGTTTAATACTAGTTTAACATTATTTATTTCAGTACTTTTAATTATTGGTCAACTCTGGGACATAAGGATAGGGCAGCAAGAAGAATTCTTCAACGATAATGGCTCCTAATAATAAATGACCACTAGATTTGTCAATTTTGTAGCTTCAAGAAATGCTAACAGTGATCCTAAAAGGAGCATGAAGATGGAACACAAAGATGAATGTGACCAAATATTTTCAATACTCTTTATGAGCAGCTTCTGTTCAGGATACTGAAAGAAAGAGTACGTACTTGGAAATGCTGAGCTTTTATAACTAAGTCCCAAATTTTGGGGCTTCCAAATGTCTTGGTAATGCTGAAAGTTGTTCTACCTTGAAACAGGGTAGTTACAGCTCTAAAAAGAAAAGAAAAGCATTTAGTAAGTAAAGCTAATTATTATGTTCCCTTTGTGTTAAACAGCTGCCCTAATGAGAAAATACTATTTCAAACATATAACCAATTTTTTCCTAAAGTAAAATTTAAAAAATATTCTACAATAGAGGTATTCACTTGCTGGTGACCCCATTTTCTAAAAATACTGTCTGTAGCAGTTGTTTTCTGTTATTACCCTTAAGGGCCTGTCAAACTACATGAAATGACCACTTCAATCTTTGATGAGGTTTGTTTCTTGTGAGTTTCTTCTTTCTCAAAAATTTCTTTTCTATCAGAAAATGACTAAACCCGTGCCAAATTTCTGAGATGTCTCAGAAGAATCTAACAAAGGATTTGCTAGTTTTACATATCTCAATATTTTCTTCAAGGGAAACTTTAATTAAGCTTTAATAAGCCAAATTACAAATGGCCTTATGTTAAAAGTTTTGAATCACTTAACATATTAATTCAATGGATTATTAATAATTTAGGGCCCAGTTTTGTCAGTATTCACATTTATATTTCAAATAAAGAACCTGTTCATGCCTGGTTATGCCTGAAGTCTAACCAACATCCAAGAAATACCAGGATCAAGACATTCCAAACTACCAGAGACACATTTGTTCTCCTTCAAGTCCCTCATCTAGCACATTGGAACGTCCCATACATGAGGCTCCAAAGATTTGACCATAATATGCCAAATGAATAAAACTAATCATCGTACTTGTGCTGTATTTGGATTTTCCATTACCCAATATATTTAAATTAATGTAGTCTTAGAAAAATTGACTGACTCCTGAATGAGTGAATCTCAAAACTTTTCTTTCCCTTGGTTTGGTATCAGAGGTATTTCTTTGACTTCCAGTTCAAAGCATGTTCCTGAGACAGAATGCTCTGTACTTTTTTACAAGTGGCATAAAAAAGCTCACCTCTACATTTCTACCCTTTGACTCCTCAACAATGTATTTGGCAACCTGAAAAAGGTTTAAATACTTAATTCATAATTAATGCTATTTCACAAAATAAGATAAACAATATTTTCAGCTAAAACAATTCATACAAACTGTGAATATATTTCAGATAAGGAGCAATGGTCTAAAATTGAGACTTTAGGTATCTACAAAATACCTTTGGAGATATAAAGAAAAAAAAGTACTTTTTCAAGTTGGGTTCGCCCCCCCCCAAGCATACAGAGATAGGTGTAATCCCACTTTTGGATCCAAGGAAAAAACTTGAAAATTTGGTCTTTCTTGTCTAATCCATAAAAAGAATTAAAAACATGTAATATACCTTTGCTTTCCCCATCTCGCTTGTCTGAGTCAGAAATTCCTCTGCACCAATTTGCTCAGTAGCAATGTCTTAAAAATACCAGCAAGGTTTAGCTAGAAATAGAGCCTGGATTTATGATTTTATTGATTAAAAGTTCTAATCAGGCAAAGACTTTTTATAAAACTAGATCCACATCTAAATGTGTACGTGCACAAAACTTAACACGCTGTATAGTCCTGCTGCCTCACTGGAATGACTGGAAGGCTTAGAAATCACCGTTCTGGTCTTTCTATATGTCTCATTCCTTTACAACACCTGTTTCCTTTATAACATCTGTGGAGAACAGCATGTTTTCATAGACTTTCGCCTGCACTTTGTTTAGGCCTGAAACAAAATGTTCCTAAAACCCAGGCAGAATTGGGACTGTAGCTTATTAGAATTTTTTAAATTATAAACTTGACACTTCACACTTGCAAACTGAGGAAAAGCTGTAAACACTTATCTGGGCCAACGTCTGTCGGTTACTCTGTTCAAGGGCAGTAAGATGTTCCTCTAGATATGCTGGTCCACATCGTAATGAAAATATTTTTTCAGCATGTTTCTCTAGTTCAGTGATACATGTGTTTATTCTCTTCTCCAAATCTGAGAGTGGACTGACGTTCAATGGAACATGTTCATACAGATATTTACATATAGCATTGAAGGAATAATCTTTTTGTAACTTTTATCCACCAAAGAATAAGGCTCATCGAGAGAGATACAACTTGGCCACACTTTCTGCAATCGGTACATAGTAAAAATACTTATTTCTGAAAATGACACAAATGCAGAGATTAAATTAGGTAATCTGTGAACCTTATTTTGCATGAAGAATTGTAATACCAGTATAAATGCATTTTACATATACCTTCTAAGAATCTCTACTTTTGGCAACATTGTTAACAGAGACTGCCATTTCCTCCTCTCCCAAGTACTGCATTCAGAGATGATTACATCATCTCCAAAAGACAGAAAAACACGAATAGGCCAGGGAGGCCCATTATAGCATACACAGAGCAATTAAAAAGACTATAATTTTTTAGTTAGAAAAGGAGATAACTCAAGAAAAAAAGGGTTATTATGTTTCTAAAGAGACAAATGAAATCATGTGCAATTTAAGTTCTCGGAAAGGACAGTAATGCCTTCCATCTGTTGAGAACAGCCTTGGAAGCATAGGAAGAAACTCTGTTCCTTGATCTAGCAAAGAATTTAAACTAGCAGCTTAAATACCTGGGCAAATTGTTGAAACCAATGGCAGTCATTTGAAGTTAATCATCAAATTGGTCACTTTCCTGAAATAACTTCGTAAGTGTTAATACAGAGTAATCAATGTGTTTTTAAACCCTCTAGCCTAGCTGAAAGACAATGACATGTTCTATCTTAATAGCAGGACAGCAAGACAAATTATTTCTTTAAAAAATATCAAATGCAAACTATTAATATACATATGTTCATTTTAGGGTAAAAAGGGAAAAGGTGAGTAAAACGAATATGAAAATTAAAACATATTAGTAATTTGTTTTTACATTATCCCAAATTAAAATGTTTCCATTTTCATGTCAGATTGCCCCTCCTAAAAATAAACCTTTTAAAGAAAAAATTAAGTTTTATAAAGAAATGTTCCACCCATCAAAACACTTTTAAACATTTTTTGTTTCTTTGTCCTGTGAGAGAAAAAGTTCTGGTTCAAAGCAAAAGAGCAATTTTTCTCATAGCTCTGTAGTTAAAGGCTTTGAGTGAATCAGTACTTGCAAATAATGTAGGCAGGTCAAAAGGAATGTTCTGTTTCCTCCAAAAAGTATGTAATTTCAGCGAATCACTGGTAACCACATTATACAAATTCTTTAACAAAATACAAAGGCATATTCAAAGATTTCCCTAGCAGTCTTATCAGTGCAAGAAAAGAAAGCAACCTCATTAAAAAGCAAAACTAGCTATTCCCCTTTTCATGCCCATCAGAACTTTTCGCCTCAGGGTTCAGGACCTTCTGTTATGTTAGTAATGCTGTGGACTGATCAAATATTTTAAACAAAGCTTGATTCAGTGTCATCACTCAAGCATGCTTCCAACAATAGAAAATTGCTGTACAGCAGACAAAGATCTTCCTCCATGGTTTAGCTTTGAGAAAAAAGGGAAGTCAACAACAGAGAGGCTGCTCTCTTAAAGGTTTGACATTTCTACGAACCTCTTAGTTTCCACTGCCTGAGGGTCTTGGAAATACAATCTGTGCTCAAACTCAATGCTCAGTATTTACATTCACATGGCTTTGCTCAGGACCCGACTCCTGCATGTTCACTTCACCATACACATGGGTAATTAAAATAATAAGTAGTCGGACTCACCAAATCTTGAGACCGTAAGAATTCTTCAAAAGTAAAAGGCTTTTGCATTTTCTGCTGACATACAGTAAGAATTGTTCTCACCAGAATGCCTTAAAAAACCCTAAGATAACATGTATTAGCAAATATTTAAACTTTAGATAACTAAAACTGACAGTCAAAGCTATCCCTATAGCATATACAGAGCATGTTCATTGTCGTTTCTTCCAATAACCAGAAGAATAACACATTCTTAGATGTTGTGAAACATGTTAAAAATGTGAAAGATATGTAAGGAAACTTCATCATTTGGATGGATGGAAACTTCCATTTTCTTCTCAGTACCTCCATACAAAATATTTATACTATTATTATTTATGTACTTCTAAAATACGTACTGAAGAAGAAGTGGATGTCCAATCACCTGGCAAATCTGCTCCGTTCTTATATATTCAGTTTTTGTTTGGAAGTTGGAAGAAATGTGAGGGCTGCAGATTAACAGAAGTCTTACTGAAATCAATCAACTGGTATCTTCCGAGTTCGGTACAATTAAAACCTCAAACTTTACACTGTTACATCTGAGCAGAAACCAAATGTGTAAAATACTGGTTTGAAAAAAATTATCTTTCTAGTAAATTGTGAAATTAAGAACCCCAAACAAAAATGATGTATCAACCATTCCTAAAAATGGTTTTGTTAATATCACAGCTTTTCTGCAAATAACTGTATAGAATAAAAGTATACAAAGGAGTAATTCAGACTTCAGAGCCTGCTTTTAAATGATGAGCAGGCTCTGTTTGCTCCCAAACAACAAGTTCTGGATTAAGCACCCAAAGAAATCATTCAAACAAAGTAAGAGAAGAAACACTTAGTAAAACCTATTATAATTAAGTTTGGCAAGAAAGAATTTTAGAAACTATTATAAAAGTCTTCTTTGCATCCAATAAACATTTTGTTATTTTGACATAATTATCTACTGCACATCAAGACGTGTTGTCACAGCATAAGGAGCCAAAAAAAATACGGGTGGTGAAATGTAGCCCTTTTTTCTTACTACTGCAATGTATTACATACTGCTAGCATGAAAAACGGATCAAGTCAACACAAAACAAATAACAACAGAATGCTGGTGGAAATCCTCTGCCACCGAATGTAATACCACTGAAGACAGTGAGGTTTTTGGGGTGTAACTGAGATCAAAGTTTGGCATAAAATCTGCCTACAATGTCAACATTTTCCCCTAAGGCTGTTACAACTAATATATCGCAGGCTTTATTTCATTGAGTCGAGAGAAATATTCTCTCTAACAGAATTACTGGTTTAGTTTAGTCACTTCAACCTAAAAATGCAGTTACTGAACACTGAATATTGGGTAAATGCCACCGTAGAGCAGCATCCTCAACCAGGCCAAGGAATTCCACAGAAAAGAGCCCACGTCCTGTTTAGAGAGAGATGCAAAACAACAAGAGAGGAATACGGCAACACAGTTCTTCCAGCCCTTAGCGTCAGCTGTAGATCTGCAGTAGGTATACTACCCGGTGGGGAAAAAAAATACAGGGAAAAAAATCCAAGTGACCTAGCTTTCCTGGAGTCAACAAGGGAGCGAGAGAAAACCTTCAGCCTCCCCAAGAAAACGCTTCGCAGGTGCTTCCAGCGAGCGGACAGACCCCGCAGGGCGGCACCACCTCCCCTGGAGGAGACGCCTCGAGGAGGGTAAAGCCACGGGGAGATTTCCCCCGGGCTGGGGAAACCTGGAACGGAGAACAGCTGGAAAGGGCGGATTCCTCCCCTGCAGGTCACAGGATGCGGATTCTGTTCAGGTTTTTGTGACACAAAACGTGGGGAAGCCGGTTCGGGGCGGGAGGCCCTCAAATCACCGCAAGATGCGGTGTTAGAGACGAGCCGTTAGGAGCCACGCTCTGCCTCGGGCTGCTCCGGGCCGCCCTCCTCTGCCCGGGGCGGCAACCCCGAGCCGCCCCGCGACCCCCCGCCGCACACGCCACCCGAGCCACAA